TTGGACGCTCCGAAGAATTTCGCGGCTTGCAAGGTCCCGTTCCCATTCGCGCTGTAACTCGAACTCGCTCATTATGATTCCGTTTCACCTCGGTTGATCTGAAGCGTCGGACCTCCATCGGACGGATGTCGTCGGTCGTAGCTCCGCACATTTCGGCGCAACTCCAAGAGTCGTGGCGAACTGTGAACTTCTCAGAATGTCGCAGGAAGTGTTCTGCCAGAACTGACGCGTTTGCGAGGTCGAGGCTGTTTGCCCCCGCGAAAAATAGGCTGCGTCGATGCAGTCCATCGAACGGTTGGCGAGGCATCTCGCCTTCGAAGGGGACCCCAGGTGCAACTGCGCGAGGTTAGTCGAAACTTAAAATGAAAGAGCATTGTACTTACAGGGATTGAAGTTTCGACTCCATCCTCGGCGTGTTCCTGGGGGCCCAGCGGTTAAGCGCTGAGCTGAAACCTTGGCCCTGATTGGGGGTTAAAGCTGGAACTTCCTTCGTGCTGGCGAAGATTTGGGGAGCTGACCAGGAAATGGTGTTCGTCCGAGGGGATTAGCATGGCTGCACAGCGATCGCTTCGGTGATTAATGGCATGTGCGCTGGCTTCTGCTCCGTCCGGGCCACTTTGACCAACTGGAGAAAAAATAAATGAGGGTTTTTTTGTAATTCGTGGTGCCAGAGGGGATTTGCATGGCTGCGCAGCGGTTGGCTGGAAGTTAATATTTTAACTCCACCGACAAAAGGCGTGCGCGCTAGCTTTTGCTCCGTCCTGCCCCGGATTACGGTTTTACAGCTGTTTACTGACCGACAAAAGTGGGAAGCTGAGTGAACGACGACCTACCAAAAAAGTCGAGGAAGCTGTGAAGAAATATTCGGCGTTGAGACTGTTCTGTGGGGAGCTCGACAATGTATCTGAAGTTTTCGGAGTGCGGTTAAGCAGAGGGAGTTGTTCCAGATTTATACGGGCTACTACGACGCGCGATAATGCCTAGGACTTGTCTGGTGTCATGGCGAGCGCAAAGATGGGTGAACGTTGGCGCGCTGCAAAAACGCCCAGTACCAGATGGGGAACTCTTCAAAAACCAGCGGCGCAGCTGTCAAGCACCTGAAGTTTACGAGTATTTGAGTAGCAGCGAAAGCAGTTTGGGTTAACCTGCAGAACCCGCGAGATGGGTGAACATCTACAAGGCCAGCTGGTCAGGGGTACCGGAATAATCTAAGAGTTTGGATTACAGTTGTGAGAAAGGTAGATGGTGTATGATGCTCACAAGCCATGATCGACGGCCGAATACCCATGTTCGGGCGGTGAACGACGAGTACTCTCTATTAAAGGGCTCAGTTCATGCGTACAGCTGGTGACGGACTAATGGGGGTGCAGCTAAACGACGGCGCGTCCGTGTTTTACAGGTAGCTGCGAAGCACGAGCAGCTGTGAAGCGGAGTTGCGGTATTTGTTAAGTTACGGGGAGAAGTTCCGACATTTTCGCTAAAAGAAACAGTGAAGCAGTTCCAGGTTTTGCAGCTGGCGTGGTGCCCGCTATATCTAGGGGTACGAGCGACATCATCCATTTTTTGCGGAGTAGTTTGGCTTTATGGAACGCGAAGGAGCAGCAGCTGTTTCGGCCCTTTCCGAAAATTTCGGCATGTACGGACAAAACGGAGCTGCAGTCTTGTGACCCTGGGTTCGGCTCGAGAGTGTTTACTAGATCGGTTCAGGACATGTCATTTTCCATCGCCATCGTCATCAAATTCTCGCCAGCACCCGCTACCGCCTCCATAGTCAATTCGCCTACCTTCGTTCGCTATACAGAACACGACCCCGCCATTCGCCTGGAGCAGTATTGAATCGACCAGATTCGGCCAGCGAAACTGTTGGGGCCAGCTCGCAAGGAGTGGATTGATTCGTGGACGATTTTTTCACTTCGTCTGGGAGCTATTTCTGGAGCAATAGTTGCTGATTTTCAAGACTTCCGAAACCGTTTTTCATTCAATTCTGGAGCAGATTTGGGAGTTCTACACGTTGGCGTTTCACTGACCTCTTCAAAGCTGAATTTTACAGCGTTTAATTTCGCAGTTGGGATGTTTTAAGAGTACACTGAAGCAGTGGGTTACCTGGAAGTTTTACCGACAAACTGTAAGCTATATTCTTCTTGAAGGGGAGGAGAAGTGCACCTGCGCTGCATTCGTCCTCTTTGCATTTTTCGGATTAGCCTGCCCAATTCGGTCAGCCGAATAATCGACCAATATTCAATGGCCAAGATCGATTGCGATCGTTTCGACAACTTTCAGTCATTCGATCACTATTCAAGACTAACGGCCCCGATAACGTTCGACATCTCAAGACAAGCATAATGATGACAGCGTGCGGTCATGCCACGTTCTAGAGTCAAAGCCATCGAGCATTATCCTGTCAAATTAAAGTCATCGTCAGCCGTTCGATCTGGAGATATCCATCAGATCGACCCTGATAGTTTCGCCAACGACATTGCTGAAATTAAACGCTGTAAAATTCAGCTGTCGGATATGGTTCGCCCAAGACTCGTCAGGACGGCGTAATCATTACGCTCGTAATCATTAGAGTCACACTCGCGATTGGATTATTAATCCGTCGGAGTATCGCCTCTAGTGTAGGGAGGGCTTATTTAGAAGGTGGGAGAGTGTAATGAATTACAATTCCTTACTGCGCTAAATTACAGCGCGTACACCCGAAGACCTCGACCTCGCAGGTTCGGCCTCGATTGTCGGCCCAAACCTCCCGGAGTCGCGTCCCGACTCCCTCGCCACCCTTCCATCCCAACCTCACGTCCCGAGGTTCTCGCCCTAGCACGTTCGAGCCCTACTTTAGCCAGTTCGCTCGTCACTTGCTGATCAATTATTATTCCTACGTTGTAATTCCATTATTCAGTCGATCGTTCCACTCCCACTCATAACAATTTGTGTCCCTTGTTTCTGATATGTTGAGTGGTTTTCGTAATGTGTTTTGAAACAAACCCTTGTAACGTCGCACCAACGCGAGTGCGACATTCTGCGACTAGCCCGTCGCATAATACGACAGAGGCACCGATCATGTACAGCACACTACAGACAGCGCAGCAACTCACTAAGTGCAAAAACGCCTGCGTCACACAGCCCCCCTCGAATGTAATCTTGGAGCTTGCTCTGTTCGAGTCTGACCTGTACAACACACCACACCACATCTTGGCCTGAACCAAGTTGCCACGCTTCGAACGTTTTTGGCAAGGTTCAATGAAAAAGGACCTGCACTGTTTCATTCAGGAATACTGAACTACAGCAGGGAAACCACCCGGGCCTCATTGAATTGCAGACTATGAATTCTCCAGAAGGATTCAAGTAGGTCTACTAATCTAATACCCGTCAGATGGCAGTCGAGGTTGGATTTCCGAGGTTTGATTGGTAGGAATACACGAAACATAATGTGGGAAACACAAAGTCCCCCCCCTTCAACTCAGCCTCTGCTCGTTCATGCGGTTTTTTTGGTTCCACCTCCTGATGGGTCCCCAGTATAAAAACCAGTGGCCTGATCTGAACTGCCATGCTCTTATCCGGGTTTGAAGAAAACTGAACAGTATCCCCAAGGTGTCTGGTTGCCCTCACTGAGGTGCTTTGCGTTACGGATCGGTCGAAAAACATCCTAGAGGGAAGTGAGGTTCTGGTTGGACGACGTAGGAAAGAACCCAACCGAACCAGAAACCTTGAATGTTGGATTCAGCAATGTTCTGTGCGTGAGCTTTGGATTCATTCATCGACCATCAACTGCATGTACAGCGGCTGGACAACAGCAACCAGCGTGGCTGTGATCAGGTGGTCAACGACAATCGACCCAGCCACGCTGTTGTCTTGTCGGCTTTGGAAGCCTTGCAAGGACAGCAGTGGCCTCTGTTGGCGCTAAGAGCTGAACAGCTGTTCAAATCAGCACTTCAAATCAAACGGCTTGTGGGATGCATGGGTGGGTGAGCTGAGCTGCGCCAGAACGCTCATCATTATAAGGTCGTGTTTGGAAAGGATTTTCCTCGTTACGTACAAGGGGAAAACTCAGAAAGTTCAAAAATGGTACAGCTCCAAGGTTTCATGGGGTATCTGCCCACACCTGCCTTGCTGCTGTGCAAGTAGCCTGGTTCATTTTCACTACATGCATCAGAGATGCTTGTGACAAGGTTGATGTGTCATTCGTTCAAACCCGACCGTGTTTTTCGGCTTCTGACCGCTGGGACATCTCAGACACAACGCATGCTAGGATCAGCAAGAGCAGGGAGGGGCGAGAACTGGCCACGCGTGTCGGTCGAGATAACTCCGAAAACTACTTGCAGCATGATTCGTCTTTTGGCTAGCGGCCAGCCTGGCAGCAGCTGTCACTCGCGGTTGGAGTTTGAGCCAGCACATACACCTCTTCCATGGAACACTCCATTTCGGAACGCTTTAAGTTGCCTTTACCTCCATAAAGCCGTATTCTTCTGCTATAATCAATGGCCTTACTGTCCAAAACCATTCGTAACAGTAGCGGAACCTGCCCAACAAAAACACATGAAGCAAATGCAACAACAAATGCAGGCCATAAAGCCGCATGCAGGACACCATACACCTCACAAAACAAAAACTTAAGCCTATAAAAATAATTGTTGACTTTTCCGCTACAATCCGTTTTGCCAGGGGTTAGATACTCTTCGGCGCGGCTAGGTCACTGACGCAGAGTGTTCCGTGGAAGGGGTGTAACATGACAACCCACTGTCCATAGTTGCCACCCATTTCGGATCTTTCACACGGCAATGCCTCGTTCCGAGAAACGGGTATGTACTGTAACGAGGTTTTCCAGTGACCCCACCATCCATCACAAAGATGCTTTCCAGCAGTACTCTCATTCCCCAGGCAGAGCCCCCCTCGGACTCAGAGTGGGACTACCCAGAGGAGGTCAGTCCTTGAGCGGCGCTCCCTTGGAATCTGCCAGCAGGCTGGCAGATTGGCCTCCACTCTTCCACGGATCTGATCCGTGTGTCACCGCCACCATGATTGCTCTTTGAAATGGTGTGTGAGAAGAACCTTTTGCGAGAAGCTCGTGAGAGAGTTGGCCATTTGAAAGCACTTCTGCTCCGAGTTACCCCAGCTCTGAGGAGTCCTTGATAAGTGCCCAGCTCGATAAAAGTTAACCAGATTAGAGTAAATGTAGATCAATCTCAGAGCTGCTTCTTTCCAAAAAAAATCTTCCGAATGGCGACCTCAGCTTTCTCCTCTGTCCTAGTACTAAATCACTCCAACTTGGACTCGGAGGATCTCAGACCAGACTCTTAGCCCTACTATTACTTAGTAGCCTGTCTCTCAGCTGTCTTCCACAGCAGGACGGCTCTGCGTCTCAGCTGCCGTGCCTCAGCTGCCGCAGGACGGCCCGCAAAGTAGTAGGCAGCAAATCGACACGTGTACCAATCTGGTGCGCGCCGTCAGCGGCGAGCCTGGTTCGGCCACAGCTGCTTCTGACAACCGCCGCTGAGCCAGGCTCTGACTGAAGTCAAAGAGCAACCAAGACGAGGTTCTCGGACTCTCGGACCTGCGGTGCGTTCCTGATGATGATGAGCCTCAGCGAGCCTAGTGATTCTTCCCCTGAGGCTGCTTCTCGAGTCGACTCCAAGTCGCGTTAAGTCAGGCAGCAATCGAGACGAGACCCGCTGTGTCACGTTCCTGACAAATATGAGTTCCCCAGGGCCGTGGGGCCACAATCAGCGGCAGGAGCCAAGACTCTATCATGAGGAGCTTCAGGCTGAATCCAGACATGCCAGTCACAGGACCTTACCTCTGCTTGATGCCGGTCTGAAGCATCCAGATGCACTAGACCTGACCCTGCGCTGCAATGCCGCAGGCGCCGCTGCTACCACTGTTACTACCCCTACTGCTACCACCAATGACATCAGCAGGCTGCGGAGCTTTAACTCGAAGGCCATGGCAGCTACTCAGAGTGACTCCGAGTCGCCTTCCAGCAAGCTTCAGGGTTATTTGAATGAAGCTTATGGCGCCGGCAGATTTGCTGGGGACGATGCAGAAGACATCATGACGATGAACTTGAAGGGAGTCAGCACTGCTGCTGGTGCTGACTGTGTCAGAGCCACGCTGGCATCGACTGACGTGTCGGCAGAAGGGAGGAGCCATGATGCGGCGCAAGCTGGGGATTCGTTATTGTCACAGCTGGAGAAGCTGGAGGCGGAGTGGATGGCAGGGTCCGCATCAAAGAAGCCGCGTTACGTTCACGTCATGATGCAAGGTGCTGCTGCTGATGATACTACACATGGGGATGATCATACTATGATGGAAATCAAGCCTCCGTCTTCTGCGGCTCCTAGTTCTGCCTTGACTTCCCCATTGCAACGCCACCTACACCGCATTCAGGCGGATATAAGGACGCAGCACAGGGAGCACGGCTTGGAAGATTCGCCTGACCAGTGGCGAGGAGCAGCATTCTCCCCATCGCTGCCACTCGCGTGCCCGCCACAGCCCCTTCCCCCTGCTGGTGCAGTCCGAGCAGCAGCGTCGGCATCTGAAGTGGCAGCAAAGGACTCAGCGGCACCCGCAGCAACGTCAAGAGGAGCAGCACCAATCCAGCCGCTTATTCACCAGTCTAAAAAACCTCATGAATGCGGCTCGGCAGATTCCAGGCCTTCTGTAGCTGAGGCAGCTGTCGATTCATCTTCTACTATGCAGCTTTCGATGTCCTCGCCCGTTCTTCTAGCCTGCAGCAGTTCTTCCTCAGTGCATGTTGTGGCTGGCAGTCGAGTGATCGTTCCCAGGAGCGCCTGGGCTCAAACTATGGTGGTAAACCACCTTGAGCGAGCGCAGGGGGTTACAAATGGCAAGCGCAAAAGTGGCAGTATGCTCGGTCACAACGAGCTCTACAACGAGGTGCTGTCTTCAGTGAGGCTATCTGTTCAGGCTAAAGGGGAAGAAAGTTATTCCTCAGCAAGGGAACAGGTCATCGCCAGCGGCAACAAAGCAGGACTAGATTCCAAGTGCTTGCATGAAGCTGCTCTAGGAGAATGTAGTGGGAAGCAGATCCACGAAGGGCAGGGAGTAGTCATGGCTGAGTCCGTAGTACGCAAGCCTTTGAAAAGAAACATGAGCGACATAGAGGAAAAGGAAACTCTCAGCATAGTTCTTCTTGGGAGAAGAGTAGAGGCTGAGCTGGCTTCTACAGCCTTCAAATGAAGGCCCTTGTAGGTTGTCAAACCCCTTGTTTTGTAATAGTAACAGATTCCATATGTATGAATGTTTTGTAGGCACATATGCGCTGTTATGAATTATATCTCAAAGTATAGCGCAGGATTCAATAAGGGGAACGTGAATACAATGTGACGGTACAAATGAGGGCCTAGGGAAAATATGTGGTAGTTGACCAAGTTGGACCTTCAGTAGAGACGAGGTGGCCCAGAAACTCCAACTCCTGCTTAAAGCCCGCGGCCCAAATTGCGAGGCGCGACCTTCAAACACACTGCGTTTGAAAGTCGCGTTTTCGTAGGTGTAGATGGGGGTAACGTGACTCGCGTCACTCGGGGCTGGCTTTCAAGTTCAGTGCGGAACGTATTTTGGGACACCAAGTGCCTCGCGTTTTTTAGCCGTCCAATATTTGTCGATTTCCATCTGACGGCGCGCAAGTAAAGTGCTTCCCCCAGTCAATCGAAATGTAATCTCAGCCGTCGCTCTGCCTGCTTGCAAATCGGACAATCTACGACAAATTGCGAATTCGCGAGATGAAACACCCTCACGATTTTTCTGCGTATTTCGTCCAGGCCGAGGCTCACAGTTCATACGCAGTGCGTATGAACAATTTGGGCCGCGGGTTTTAAAGCCCATGGCTAAAATAGCATTCAAGACAAGCTATTAATTTCCACTTGAAAGTGATGCAATCCTACTTTGTAGCTTGTGGAACTCAAACATAGATTCAGATTTAGGATAAACCAGAAAGTGGCGAAATGACTTGCGCGTCAAAAAGCTGACCGGAAACGTGCATGCGACCTACGCTGCGACTGTAAAAATTGCACAACAATTGAGATGGCGGGAAAACAAAACACTCGCACGCAGCTTGCTCAACCCAGCTGAATGTACCCGTAGAGCAATCCACAGCACACACAATCGTGTCGCCCTAGAGCAAGCGAACCTTACGCAACTCGAACGCACTGTGGGTGCACCTCCGGGGCAGGGACGTCATCAGCGACCTTAGCGGCGGTAACACAATAGACAGACGCGCATAGGCGGGCACATATGTAGCCACTTTGTGACCAAGGCAGGGAGACGCGCAATAGCAGGGAGACGCGCAAATGCAGGGAGACTCGCTAAGGCAAGGAGACGCGCTAAGGCAGGGAGACGCGCTATGGCAGGGAGACACGCTATGGCAGGGAGACGCGCTATGGCAGGGAGACGCGCTAAGGCAGGGAGACGCGCTAAGGCAGGGATACGCGCTAAGGCAGGGATACGCGCTAAGGCAGGGAGACGCGCTAAGGCAGGGAGACGCGCTAAGGCAGGGATACGCGCTAAGGCAGGGAGACGCGCCAATGCAGGGAGACACGCTACGGCAGGGAGACATACTCATGTCTCCGTTCCCAACCCAGGGACTGGACCACATCTCTGCAGTCCGCGGGATCCCATTATCTCACAGACCACCCCCCCGCCCCTCTGCCCCCCCTCCTCCCCCCATCTCGCCCTCTCTCAGCCCCCTCGAATGCCGAGATGACCTCAAAATTGCAACCCTACTAACAACCACACAGCCCCGCACCCATCCTCCCCTCCTCGCGCCAACCCAAACCCCCCCCCCCCCCCCCCCCCCCCCCCCCCCCCCCATCCATGCCATGCCCTGCCCTGCTTTGCCCTGCCCTGCCCTGCCTTGTCCTGCCCTGTCCTGCCCTGCCCTGCCCTGTCCTGCCCTGCCCTGTCCTGCCCCGTCCTGCCCCGTCCTGTCCTGTCCTGCCCTGCCCTGCCCTGTCCTGCCCTGCCGTGTCCTGTCCCGCCCTGCCCTGCCCAGCCCTGCCCTGCCCTGCCCTGCCCTGCACTGTCCTGCCCCGTCCTGCCCTGCCCTGTCCTGCCCCGTCCTGTCCCGTCCTGTCCTGCCCTGTCCTGCCCTGTCCTGTCCTGCCCTGCCCTGTCCTGCCCTGCCCTGCCCTGCCCTGCCCTGTCCTGCCCTGCCCTGCCCTGCCCTGTCCTGCCCTGCCCTGCCCTGTCCTGCCCTGCCCTGTCCTGCCCTGCCCTGTCCTGCCCCGTCCTGCCCTGCTCTGTCCTGCCCCGTCCTGTCCTATCCTGCCCTGCCCTGCCCTGCCCTGTCCTGCCCTGCCCTGTCCTGCCCCGTCCTGCCCTGCCCTGTCCTGCCCCGTCCTGTCCTATCCTGCCCTGCCCTGCCCTGCCCTGTCCTGCCCTGCCCTGTCCTGCCCTGCCCTGTCCTGTCCTGCCCTGTCCTGCCCTGCCCAGCCCTGCCCTGCCCTACCCTGTCCTGCCCCGTCCTGCCCTGCCCTGCCCGGCCCTGCCCTGCCCTGTCCTGCCCTGCCCTGCCCTGCCCTGCCCTGCCCTGCCCTGTCCTGCCCCGTCCTGTCCTGCCCTGCCCTGCCCCGTCCTGCCCCGTCCTGCCTTGCCCTGCCCTGCCCTGTCCTGCCATGCCCTGTCCTGCCCTGCCCTGTCCTGTCCTGCCCTGTCCTGCCCTGCCCAGCCCTGCCCTGCCCTGCCCTGTCCTGCCCCGTCCTGCCCTGCCCTGCCCTGCCCTGCCCTTTCATGCCCTGCCCTGTCCTGTCCTGCCCTGTCCTGCCCCATCCTGTCCTGCCCTGCTCTGCTCTGCCCTGTCCTGCCCTGCCCTGTCCTGCCCTGCCCTGTCCTGCCCCGTCCTGTCCTATCCTGCCCTGCCCTGCCCTGCCCTGTCCTGCCCTGCCCTGTCCTGCCCTGCCCTGTCCTGTCCTGCCCTGTCCTGCCCTGCCCTGCCCTGCCCTGCCCTACCCTGTCCTGCCCCGTCCTGCCCTGCCCTGCCCTGCCCTGC